ACACACAGGCATGTATCATGGGATCACAATAAATTGTGTTTGGGGCTTCACAAACTAAAGAAGTTTTTATTATAAAATTACCATTTTTCATTTACAGTGCCAATTTATGTAATGTAGTTGGGAAAGGATACTGTGATTTGGTCCGCTATCCCCATCATGATCCCCCTACCCCAAAGGGAAAGGTCCTTCCCTTTTGGTCCTGTTGTGGGCGAGGAGGGATTCGAACCCCTGACACGTGGGTCGTAGCCATGTGTTCTAATCCTCTGAGCTACAGGCCCCACCCCGTCTCTAGTACTTTGATAATTACTGCTAGGGTACATGCTAGACCTAATTGTTGCTGCTGCCTGTGAATGAGTGAGCTGAGAACACAATTTAGGGTTCATTTGGATAAATTAGAAGATTTGAAATCAAAGAATTTGAGTTTACACAGAAGGTTGGTTATTGTAGTTGGATTTTAAAATTCAAGGTGACCTTACAATAGAGGTACAAGAGAAATCTTTTATTACAAATCAACTTGAATATTTTCGAAATGAATTTCAAATAACTTTATCACGTCTTGATCTTGTTATTTATCGTTTGAGAACCGATCTAAAATATCATTGAACATGTTGAGTTTCTTTTCTTGTTATCTCCAACAAAATTTAATAAATATTTTAATAGTATTGATAAACATTTATAGCATACAAAATTGGCCAATTTTAATAGTGTGAATGTATCACTTCTATGGTACACATTGACAATTGTTAAATATAATGTAATGCCACTACAAAATTTAATAAATATTTTAAATTTGGACAATACTTATCAATGATGCAAACACATCAACGCAATGATGAATAAAAAGTGAAGTGAATGAAAAGAGAAGTGATTTTCTATCAAACATTTAGTTAGCGTGAAAATTTATTCAGGAAAATTGTATGAAAATATTAGTTTGTTAGTTTGTACAAAATAATCAGCCGCCCCAACTTTCTCTTCCAACTCTCTCTAACTTTCTCTCTCTAACAGGCAGCTTCGTCTTCTTCACTCTGCCTCCCGCTCCCTTCCATGGGAGTGGGGAGATGAAGGCCGTCTCCCGCGGCTGCAATAAACTCACTGTGTTTCAATAAATGTGTTCCGTGGGTATTTTTTTATGTAGTTTTTTTGTTTTCTTCGGTTAGATCTGTTCACGCTCGGTTCATTTTCGAATCCCATGGGTGGATCTGTTATTTTCTCCGACTAAATCTCTGGTCTATGTCGTTTTTGGTTTTTCCCACCTCGATTTAATCTTTTTTCTCCTTGATTTGATCTTATGCGGGGTTTCTTGGTTGTTGGAGCGCTTTGTAATTGTACTTTTGGATCGGTTGCCGTGATGATGGTCAGACCTTTCGGTCTCTCCTATTTGCTACATTCTCCCATGGTGGTTCCGTTTGCAGATGTTGGGCTCTGTTTCCTCCACAAATCTGGAGTCTGTTCTTCATTTATTTGTTTTGCTTCAAGATTTGTATGCCTTTTCTGGTTTGGTTTTATGCCTCTGTACTGCCATCTTGGCTTTAAGCCTTTGTGCCTTTGAATGACCAAAAAAAAAAAAAAATAAAGACTTGGGGGCTCGTGGAGTCATGGGCTTTCCAACCAGAGAACACAAAAAAACAAAATATATGTTATTCTTTGTATATATAATAGAGGGGTATATATATTGCAAGAGAACATGTTTAGAGAGAACTTGCCTTCTAGAAGTTTACTAAAATAGAAATTGTTAGAAAACTTGGCTCTTTGAAACTCAATAGAAAAGAAAGAAGTTAGTTGTTTTACATGATTGAATTGTTGGATAAAATAGAAACTTCAAATAAAAAGAAGCACTGTTCACGAGAAAATATTATTTCCTCGTATTTTGTGTAAGAAAAGTTTTGGAGGAAACTAGTCTAATGCGGGAAACCATATTTTCTATTACCATTCTTTTTTCATTGAAAAATTTAAAAATTCTCTTTCATTTCTTTTCTAGTTGATTCCATCTAACCAAACGAAGCCTTAAATTTTTTGAATGAAATTGTTTCGTCAATCATCAACAGATGTTTTTGACTGAACAGGTATGATCACTGGTTGGTTGTGGGATGAAAAGATACAATTCAAAACCAACAGACATAACATATTCAATGTGAACCACTGCAACCTATTACAGTGGTTGTGTCTTGTAATGAAAGAGACACATATAAATGGTTGTCTAATGATAAAGAGACACAACCAATCCGAAAATGCACTTTTAATTTCTACAAATACCCTCTTTGGCTGCCATTTGCAATTTGTTCAATTCATTTTCTTCTCTCTCCCTCTCTAGACTTGAATCCAACCCAAGTGGGTTCAAACCATAGATCAAGTGGTCCGAGACACTTTGATCCTAATCCAATTTCATCGAACCATATTAAGATTGGTCTGAACCATTTGGTTCTGATTGCACCCAATTCAGCATTTATATAGTATATATGCATTTTTGAGTCAGAGAGAGTATTATACGTAGGAGGTTCGCCGTATCCACGAGTTTTTAGTATTGCTACTGGTAGATGTAGACCGTTGTATCCTGAGAGACAAGCGCTATAGAGTCCGTCAGTACCATGCTGGACTTAAATTGTCTTAAGACATAGTATCCAATACTAGTATGGTTTATATATTCTTTATTTATTATTATTATTTTATTACTTTAATTTACATATTTAATTAAATATCAAGTTACATATTTAATTAATTATTTATTTTTTAATATATTATTAATTATCTCATTACATATAAGCATAAGGTTACTTATATCTTAAATATCATTTGAAGCCACAATCTTTAAGACATATTTATTATATGAATAAGACCGATACCGAACCATAGTTTACCAAAACTTGTGCAAAATATTATGGGTATATCTACATAGATAGACATGGTCTTTTAAAAAGCATGGGTGAGGCAAAAGAATAAAAGCAAAATTGCATATGCAGGCATATTGTTAGTATGTGTGTGTGGAGAGATATAAAGAAAACAAACTATAATTATAACTCATACAGAAATTTACATAGTCGGTTAGCTGAAAATCAAACCCTACAAATGCAACTGCACAAATTGAGGAGGACGTTAATCAAACTAAATAAATTAAAGAAGAACAAGAAGCAGCAGCAGCAGCAGCAGCAGCTTCTTTTGCCCAATTACGTTATGAAGTCTAAATTTTGCAACAACTGTTATAAAATAATAATAATAATAATAAATAAATAAATAAATAAATAAAAAGTTTGAAAAATAACCCAAAAAATGGAATAAATAAATAAATAAAACAGAATTAGAGAGAGCAAACCCTAGAAAAACATGATAATCGTTACATAAAAAGGGCTCAAACTTACCTCAGCGAGACAAGATTTACAGATTGTAACAATGAGAAACAAACACAGGCACAGTACCCGCTACTGTAAAGCCTGAGTACCCCAATAATAAAGGGTATGGTTGCAATCCAGTTCCAATTTTTACGAATTCAGACAACTGGTTTTCCAATGTGAGTCCAGTCCAAATTTTAAGGTTGCAGTTTCGATTTCAGTCATAATTTATAATCCATGAAATTTCATTAGTGTTAAATATAGTGGTAGCTCATCTTCAAACCAAAATATATGGAAATCAATGTCCATTTACAACGATATGCAGACAAATTTGAAATCTGAAATTCAACATTCTCCCAAATTCAAAAACAAAATTCTATTAGTACATTATAAAGAGAGTTTATTATTAGAAAAGACCCATAGTCGAGGAGGTAAAAGAATGAATGTTTGGACCAAAATGCTCTTATTGCTGTTTTATTTAAATCTTAATTCATCCGAACTATAAAAATTCATATCTCACAAAGTGTACATCAAAAATTTGTAAATAATATATGCATGAAAAGCTTATGAAATGGGGATTCCAGAAATATAAGATTTGTGCAACAAGTCTCTTTGAGAGAAATAGACAATTTAAGATTTCAAGAAAACTTCTATCACATTTTGGGGTATGCAGCATTTTGAAGTTCCTCCAGTTGGTGTGTAAGATGAGTCATGGCGAAGTTATTATCCAGGATAATAGAGTCAAACTATCTGCATTACCTGCACTTGAGGTTCTGTTTTCACTGGGTTGTATGTTAGTGTACTTGGGATTGAACGTGTGAATGCCTTAAACTTGATTGCAGAGGTTGCTGTAAAAGGTAAAACCGCAAACCAGGGGTTTAGATTTCTAGCTGTTAGGCGCAGAGTGATGTAGAGATGTAAGAATTTAACGGGAGAGAAAATATAGGATCCAGAGTTACGTATGTCTGAAGAAATGAGTTGAGGGAAAATTTGTCATTTCATACACGGGGTAAAAGGGGGCAGATGCTAGAAACTCTTGCTAAAGTGCTAATGGTGCTGTGCAGAAAGGATACAGTGAGCAATGATTTAAGTGGTAAAAATTGATTTCACCGAAAAGGAAAAGAGGTGGAAGAGGTTGATGTGATAAGATTGGATTGAGCTCTTAAGGAAGATTGATTCTGTTTTACTTAATATTTGAATATGATAGCTTTGATACGAAAATATGTTCTAAAATAGAGCAATGATTGTTGTTACTTAAATGCTTGAAAATTGAACTTCTTTATTGCCTTCAAGCTACTCAACTACAACTAATAACCTTCCCACGATTTTTTCTTATACAGTTGTGCTTTGGAAGCTGGAACCTTGAGGTTCGAGAGAGAGTTCCCACTTAAGAGGCATTGTTTAAACCATACATGAATGAATAAGAGTATATATAATAATTTCTTGCATGTTAAAAAAGGAAGGAGAAAAAGAGAAAAAAAGTAGTGAACACAAGAAAAAAAAAAAAAAGATAATGCAATTTGAAGGAGTAAAATGCCGCCATCATGGGTGATAAAAACTTACGGACAGATAAATAGCTGCTATGTTATGATGACATGGTTCATGAGCGGTGATAGGAGAGTATCTACATAGCTGATTGCATTAGCATTAACAAACGGGGCATCGGTGACGAGGTCCCTAGAAGTTCCCTCTTGTGTTGTATAAAACAAACTTCTCGAAGTCTATCAAACAGGTATCTTCTTCTTCATCATTCCTCCTCCTCAAGGTAGTCAATGGCTGTAACATATGGAAATAATATGGAAGTTTAATGTGGAGTTTAGCCCAATACTGGTTCACCCCATATTCCCTCATAGCCCAGCAGAATGCATTATCACCACCACATGCTACTATACAAAGGCATCCATCAAACACCCCTAGTTCCACTGCATCATTAAAACTGGTGATGGAAGCCGCAGCAGGCAAAGGAATGGTCCAAAGTTTCTCATCCTCCAATCGAAAAACAGCAATCTCTGATGGCTTGTCGTCTGAACCCTCCAAACAAACCCAATGAATGGCTCCATTCAGCTGCGCCCCCTTCGATATAACACCATACTTCGTAAAGTCATGAACAATTTCTCAGGGAATACACATACATGCCATTGCCGCGGCTTATTTTCAGCAGTTTGTAAGCATCAGAACAATGGTCATACACAAATCCAACTACGCCACCGCGGGGATGATCCCCGCAATCCCGTATCAGCTTGGACTCCCTCGTCGACGGATTGAATACACATATCAATCCAAACTCGTTCACCATGCATATCAACCCATGACAGGAACCAATGATTTCCCACGCATGATGAGTACTAGGATTATTAATGTTCTTAAATAAAAAATCAATCTTTGATACTGCAACATCAATGTCGTCGTCGTCATTATCTGATGACCCCCCGAAGCTTACCGTATAGACACGAAGAGGGCAGAAGGGAGTGGCTACCAGTATCCGCTGTGTTTGGATGTTGGAATTCGTGGTGAGTGATTGATTGAGGTGGGCTTTGATGAAGTGGGGATCAGAGATCAGAGAGCGCCATCGCTTTGACACGCACTTGAATCGTAACAGAGCCTTCACCGGCAGTTTTGAGAGTATTTCAACAATAAGATGTTGGGTAAGGTATGGCGCTCTAGGCATGGCTTCGCATGGCTCCTGATTTCTTCTTTTAATTTCTGCCGCCATCTTCATCTTCATCGCCATGGCTTTGCCTCGATTCCTTCTGGATCTATTCATATTTGGCAACCGACTTCTCTTCATGATAACATATATGCCAATTACTTCTTCAGGTCAAGTAATTGCTTGAATCTCAACCAACACACATGAAATCGGCAGTCAACTAGGCCCTGCTTCTTATAATTATCTCCTCTGTTTCTTATAATTAGGCGCAGGGTTCCGAGTAACACATATTTTTTGTTTTTTCAGAAGCTTTAATCAGTAGTAGTGAAATTGGGCTTTCCACCCGAGGGCCTTCTCCAAAGGTAGGTTATTCGTGTAGTTTGTAGTACCGCTTTTCTTTAAGCGATCGAGCGATGTGTGTACAAGTGAACATAGATTGGACTGGATGGGCTCGACTTTTAAGTTAAAAATATAAAGTCGGGCCTGGTCTTTTATTTAAATGGATTGGCTGAGCTTTGGGTTGCAATTTGGGCGGGCTAACCCAACTCAACCCAACCCCAACCCCAATCCAGAAATTTTGAAATTGAGGCTTAAAATTTACAAATCAGGTTCATGTTCAGGTTAGATTTTGTCAAAACCCAGACATATTCAGGTTGGGTTCGGGCTTAACCCGAACCCAACCCAAAACCCAATTTTTTTTAAAAGAAAACCTATTTTGCGTAGCCAAAAACCCCTTAATAGACTTCAAAGGCCAAAAGTATTTCACCCAGTTCTCGTAAGTGTCGTAAGTATTATAAATTTGTCCAAATCAGTTTATATTAAAAGCAGCAAGTATTACAATATAGACTTCTCAAGAAAGTTGAAACCAAATCTAATGACAGAAGCATTCACTACAAACAACACAATATATATATTGTTTATGATTTCTACCCACTAGAAAACAATTGCTTCACCCACAAAATGAAAGATCTGAAAAAGAAAAAGAAAAAAAGAACAATGTGACAATATCCTGGTAAAATGACTCTACAATATAACTTGAAAATGACTCTACTATATCGTGTTTGTATTTGTATTCATGCTTCACTTCATATTCTATTGCTAGCTTTCCAATCAATTACTGGTTCTTTCAATATTTATTATTGAAGTTACTCTTCGATCCTAAAGCTAAGAATCAAAGCAAAGCAAAGTACTAGTAAAATGAAAAACAAGAACGCTATATAAATATCTAGTACACAAATCCATTCACTTTACATTCCATGGTGTTAATAGGAGGAGGTAGATAGTGTGAAAGATTAATGCAATCCCATTATATTTGAGGAGTCAATTTTACATGTGTACTGTTGGAAACAGGGGCATTAAAAACATAAACTTTGGAAGAGATTTTGAATAGATTCCGCTAAGAATTTTTTGCGGATCTATAGACGAGCGCATTCTTCTCTGCAAGGAGATGAACGTGGTATATTTTCTTTCTCAAATCCTTTTCCGGGTGAATGAGAAATTAGTTCCAAAGTAAAGTGTTTGATAAAGCTTAAATGGGTTTGCAAAATATGGGAAATGTTTGTCCTACATCGAAATATTATTAAAACCAATTTAAGTTTAAATAAACCTAGTATGGGATTTGGGTTTGGGCCTAAGGGTACCCAAGTTTTTAAGAGGGGGAGGACCTAGTCAAGCTTGGGTCCGAACCAACTACCACACGCGCGTGTTGCCCGACCTAACCCAGTCCGGTCCGGTCAGAGCTTGGGCTGGGGTAGGGCGGGGCTTGATTGTGAAATATGTTTAATTTTTTATTAAACGAAATTGGGCTTGTGTGATTGGATTTTAATTTTATTTTGCTGGGCTTATTAAGATCGCTGAATTGGGCCTGTTTGCTAGGCTTCATAATGGATTAAAACAGTTTTGATATTAAATTTAAATTAAAACCATAAAACAGTTTTTTTATGAACCAATGGTTGCAACTTTTTGCAAAATAAACCAACTGCAGTTTTTCCTGAACCATTGTGAACCAATGGTTGCACCCATTCGAAAAGGCACCATCTAGCCTATAAATACCCCCCTTGGGTTCATTCCAAATTACACCAAAATTCAGAGAATTCTTCTGTTCTTCTAAATTTTCTTCTTCTTCCTTCTCTCAATAGTATTTGAGTTCGAGCCTTAGTCAGTCACTTCGAATCCGAGTTCGAGTCAGAGAGTACTACACTAAGCCGATTCGCCTATTCCTTTGGTTTGCAGTGCTACTACAGAAAGAAGACAAGTCGTTGTATCTTGGGAGATAGACGTCATTGAGTCCGTTAGGAGCATAGCGGGGCGAATCTGTCTTAAGGACATATAATCAAATTCTAGCCTCAACTTTTAATCAGGTTCATTTATAGTTTTATTTGATTATATTAAACTATATATTATAAGAAATTACATATTTATAAATTATTATTTTATATTTACAGATAATATTTAAATAAATAATACTATAGTATATAGTATAATTAAACCATTTTTTGGACAACAATCTGAAAACAGAATCGAATTATACTATAGTTTAATTATTTAAATATTGTTGTTATTTTATTTCTGTAAATTTGACTGTGGTTTGTATATTTAATATATATTAGACAAATGGCAAGTAAAGTACTACTATACCCAATGTTCCCGTCAGTCATGGGGAGAAGCCCGAAAAATTCAATGGGGCGGAGTTTAAAAGGTGGCAACAGAAAATGATGTTCTACCTTACAACTAAATCTAAGCAAATATCTAACTGAGACTGCCCCAGTGCTAGATGAGGGTGAGACTGACATTACCAAGCTAGGAGTTGTTGATACATGGAAGTATAGAGACTTCCTATGAAGAACTACATCCTTAATGGATTGGACAACACTTTATATAATATATACAGTCCAATAAATATTGTTAAAGAGCTCTGGGAGTCACCAGACAAAAAGTATAAAATAGAAGATGTTGGATTGAAGAAGTTCGTGGTCGGACGATTTCTAGACTTCAAAATGATAAACTCCAAAACAGTCATGAGCCAAGTGCAGGAGCTCCAGCTGATCCTACATGATATACATGCTGAGAAGATGACATTGAGTGAATCCTTTCAAGTAACTTCAATCATTGAGAAACTGCCACCTATTTGGAAAGATTTTAAAAAATACTTGAAGTATAAGCGCAAGGAAATGGGGCTCGAAGACCTGATTGTCAGGCTAAGAATTGAAGAAGATAACTGCACATCTGAAAAGGAAGTCGGGAATTCTTTAATGGTGTCAAAGGCAAATGTAGTGGGAGCTGGACAGAAGAATAAGAAGAGGAAGTACTCTGGCGAAGGTCTCAGCCAAGGAAACTACAAGAGGTTCACTGGGAAGTGCTTCATATGCAGTAAGTTAGGACACCGAGCTAAAGACTGTCGTAACTGCAAAGCACAACACAACCCCAAGAAAAAGACCACTAAGGTGCATATTACTGAGGAAGATAATTTGATAGATAATGTATCAGAGCTAAATCTTTCAGCTGTGGTTTCTGAAATCAACCTGGTGAGCAATAATAGAGAATAGTGGGTGGACAAAAGAGCTACTCGTCATGTTTGCTCTGAAAAGAAGATGTTCACTACCTATGAAGCTATAGATAATGAAGAACAACTTTACATGGGAAACTCTTCTACTGCAAAGGTTGAAGGACACGGAAAGATCAAGCTACTAATGACCTTAGGGAAAGAGCTCATTCTTAATAATGTGCTGCATGTACCAAACATCGTGAAGAACTTGGTCTCTGGGTCACTTTTAAGCAAGAATGGGTTCAAGCTGGTCTTTATATCTGACAAGTTTATGTTGACTAAGAATGGGGTGTATGTGGGCAAAGGGCATCTAAGTAATTGACTATTTAAGTTCAATGTCATGACTGTTGTATCCAAAACTATTAATAATAATAATAAAGTTAATGCTTCTTCTGCTTATATGATTGAATCATCTGATGTGTGGCATGGTAGGTTATGACATGTTAATTATGATACGATTCATAAATTAATTAATATGGACTCTATACCTAAATTTAGTATTGATTTAAATAAAAAATGTCAAACATGTGTAGAAGTAAAATTGACTAGAACATCATTTCACTCTATAGAGCGAAGTACTGAACCTCTAGCATTAATTCACAGTGATACCTGTGACTTTAAATATGTGCCAATTAGAGGTGGGAAAAAGTATTTCATTACTTTTATTGATGATTGCACAAGATACTGTTATGTATACTTGTTAAGAAATAAAGATGAAGCATTGGAAATGTTTAAACATTACAAGAATGAGATTGAGAATCAACTTGGTAAAAAGATAAAGGTGTTTAGAAGTGATAAATACAAAGCACCATTCGCTGACATTTGCTCAGAACATGGTATTATTCACCAAACTATCGCTCCTTATTCACCTCAACAGAACGGTGTTACTGAACGCAAAAATCGTACCTTAAAAGAAATGATGAATGCTATGTTGATAAATTCTGGTTTAACCCAGAATTTGTGGGGGGAAGTTTTGCTCTCTGCTAATTATGTTCTCAACAAAATACCTTAAAAGAAAACAAATGTGACACCTTATGAATTATAAAAAGGTCAAAAACCTTCCTATAAATTCTTAAAAGTATGGGGGTGTTTAACTAAGGTTGCAATTCTTACTCCTAAGAAAGTTAAGATAGGACCAAAAACTTTTGATGGTATTTTCATAGGCTATGTACAGAATAGCAGTGCATATCGTTTTCTTGTGCATAAATCAGATATTCTTGACATTCATGTCAATACAATTATTGAGTCAAGGAATGTTTGTTTCTTTGAGGATATATTTCCTTGTAAAAATCATCTTCAAAGAAATCATGATATTGCTAATAGCAATATAAAAGAAAATATAGACCAAGAGTCTATAGATGATGAAAATAAGGAAGAACCTAGACATAACAAAAGAGCTAGAATGTCTAAGTCATTTGGTTCTGATTTTCTGATATATATATTGAAGAATAAGCCACAAAACTATAAGGAAGTTATGTCTTCTCCTGAAGCTCCTTTATGGAAAAAAGCCATAAATAGTGAAATTGAATCCATCATGCAAAATCATACTTGGGAGCTGGTGGATCTTCCTCCTGGTACTAAACCTTTAGGGTATAAGTAGATTTTCAAGAGGAAGATGAAGCCTCATGGTTCAATTGATAAATATAAAGCTCGACTTGTTACTAAGGGATACAGACAAAAGGAAGGCTTAGACTATTTTGATATATATTCATCAGTCACAAGAATAACATCCATTAGATTGTTACTAGCTATTGCAGCATTGCAAAATTTATAAATACATCAAATGGATGTGAAGACTGCATTCTTGAATGGTGAATTAGAGGAGGAAATCTATATGGAACAACCTAAAAGTTTTATAGTTCCAGGAAAAGAAAAGAAGGTGTGCAAGCTTGTAAAATCCTTATATGGATTGAAACAAGCACCTAAACAATGGCATCAAAAATTTGACAAAGTGATATTGTCAAATGGTTTTAAAATTAATGATTGTGATAAATGTATTTATGTGAAAAACACTCAAAATGGATATGTCATTGTGTGCCTATATATGGATGATATGTTAATAATGGGTAGTAATGATATTATAATCAAAACTACTAAAAAGATGTTGACCAAAAATTTCGATATGAAAGATTTAGGCATAGCTGATGTCATACTAGGAATCAAGATTTCTAGAATATCAGATGGTCTAGTATTATCTCAATTTCACTATATTGAGAAAATATTAGAAAAGTTTAATAAAGAAGATAGTAGTCTTGTAAAGACTCCTGTTGATGTAAATCTTCATTTATCGAAAAATACTGGTCCTAGCATATCACAACTTGAGTATTCTCGCATTATAGGAAGCTTAATGTATTTGATGAATTGCACATGACCAGACATAGCATACTCAGTTAATAAATTGAGTAGATGTACAAGTAATCCAGGAAATAACCATTGGATTGCAATAATCAGGGTTCTAAGGTATTTAAGATATACCATAAGTTATTGATTATATTATTCTAGATATCCAGCAATACTTGAAGGATACAGTGATGCTAATTGGATATCAGATATGAAGAATTCTAAATCCACAAGTGGCTATGTCTTTACTATTGGATGAGGTGTCATATCTTGGAAATCTTCAAAACAAACTTGTATTGCCATATCTACTATGGAATCTGAATTTATTACTTTGGATAAAGCTGGTGAAGAAGTTGAGTGGCTTCGTAATTTCTTAGAAGATATTCCAAATTGGCCTAAACATGTGCCCATTATATGTATACATTGTGATAGTCAATCACCAATTGGAAGGGCACAAAATAATATGTATAACGGTAAGTCTCGACATATACGTTGACGACATAATACCGTTAGACAATTGTTCTCAAGTGGCATAATCTCAATAGATTATATCAGGTCAAGAGATAATTTAGCGGATTCATTTACAAAAGGTTTGACAAGAAAACAAGTGTATAGTTCATCGAGGGGAATGGGATTAAAGCCGCAAGCTAACGAGTCATCTTAATAGAAACCTAACCTAATTGACTGGAGATCCCAAGATCTAGGTTCAAAGGGACAACAGAAATTCTGAATGGCTCACCAAAAGCACTGAAAAGATTTAATCTTCTACCCATTACGAAGATGAAACAGTGTTACCTACAGCGATGAGTAGGATAAGCTATGCTTTTAATGACTCTTATAACCTTGAAAATTCAAGTAGAGTATAGTAGAATACTCTTAATAAGAAGTCACCTATATGAGTGTGAAATGGGGTCGCTTCTATGAGAACTTCTAAGGCTAAGTTTTCTAAAGCACTCATGAAATACCAGAAGTTGTTCAGGGCCATATGAACACAACTGTGAAAATCGACTTTGTGTGGTAAGGAACTGTGCGTTTGCTATTGTCTTGGTTTACATCAACGGCTGAACAGTTCAAGACATCATGTTTACTGATTAGCCAGTAAATCTGATAGTAATACACTAGGGAAGATTCAAGGCCAAAAGCTACCTATCCTGATGCAGTTACTTTCCAATAGTACTCTCTTTAGTGTCTGTATCTTCTTCATTTGCAATTTTCGCAAATTTCCATTCAGATGTGGGATTGTTGGAAACAGGGGCATTAAAAACATAAACTTTGGAAGAGATTTTGAATAGATTCCGCTAAGAATTTTTTGCGGATCTATAAACGAGCGCGTTCCTCTCTGCAAGAAGATGAACATGGTATATTTACTTTTTCAAATCCGTTTCCGGATGAATGAGAAATTAGCTCCAAAGTAAAGTGTTTGATAAAGCCTAAATGGGTTTGCAAAATGTGGGAAATGTTTGTCCCACATCGGAAAATTATTTAAACTAATTTAAGTTTAAATAAACCTAGTTTGTGATTTGGGTTTGAGCCCAAGGGCACCCAAATTTTTAAGAGGGGGAGGACCTAGGCAAGCTTGGGTCCGAACCAACTACCACACGCGCGCGCCGCCTAACCCGACCCGGTCCGATCCAGGCTTGGGCTGGGGCGGGGCGGGGCTTGATTGTGAAATATGTTTAATTTTTTATTAAACAAAATTGGGCTTGTGTGATTGGATTTTAATTTTATTTTGCTGGGCTTATTATCATGGCTGAATTGGGCCTGTTTGCTTGGCTTCATAATGGATTAAAACAGTTTTGGTATTTAATTTAAATTAAAACCATAAAACAGTTTTTTTTGAACTATTATGAACCAATGGTTGCACATTTTTGTAAAATAAACCACCTGCAGTTTTTTCTGAACCATTGTGAACCAATGGTTGCACCCATTCGAAAAAGGCACCATCTAGCCTATAAATACCCCTCCTTGGGTTCATTCCAAATTACACCAAAATTCAGAGAATTCTTCTCTTCTTCTGAATTTTCTTCTTCCTCTTTCTCTTCTTAGTATTTGGGTTCGAGCCTTAGTTAGTCATTCCGAGTCCGAGTTCAAGTCAGAGAGTACTACACCGAGCCGGTTCGCCTGTTCCTTTGGTTTGCAATGCTACTACCGAAGGAAGACAAGTCGTTGTATCCTGGAAGATAGACGCCACTGAGTCCGTTAGCACCATAGCAGGGCGAATCTGTCTTAAGGACATAGAGTCAAATTCTAGCCTCGACTTTTAATCAGGTTCATTTATAGTTTTATTTGATTATATTAAACTATATATTATAAGAAATTATATATTTATAGATTATTATTTTATATTTACAGATAATATTTAAATAAATAATACTATAGTATATAGTATAATTAAACCATTTTTTGGACAACATGTACACCAACTAATAAAACCTACTTTGACCTAATAATGGAAGTAACCAAATATTTACCACCCGCCAGATCTCTCTAACTTCCGTATGATCAAGGGTCTGTGATAGGAATAACGACATTCAGTTAACGACGATATTTGAAGTGGTTATTAATGATAAGCAGAATCTCAACAAGCGAGATTCGATTCAACAGCCTACATCGATAAAACACAATAAATACAAGGGACGATGGAATGAGGTATGAGATACAAAAAACTCCTATTTCAGCTATTACAGTTTAATTATCTCCCCCCCCCCCCCCAATAACTTGATCGTCGAAGGGTCTACGACTGGCATCACACCGGTGCCTGACTCAACCGTCTTTATTTTTACAAGAAACGGTGTCGTACCAGGCCGCGGCGAATTAACCCTAACATCTCACAAAGTGTACAGCAAAAAATTGTAAATAATATATGCACGAAAAGCTTATGAAATAAGGATTCCAGAAATATAAGATTTATACAACAAGCCGCTTTGAGAGACATAGACAATTTAAGATTTTAAAAAAATTCTATCACATTTTGGGGTATGCAGCATGTCGAAGTTCCTCCAGTTTGTGTGTAAGATGAGTCATGGCGAAGTTATTATCCAGGATAATAAAGTCAAACCATCTGCATTACTTGCACTTGAGGATTTGAAACTAATGGTTCTCACTGGGTTGTATGTTAGTGTGCTTGGGATTGAACATGTGAATGCCTTAAACTTGATTGCAGAGCTTGGTGTAAAAGGTAAAACCGCAAACCAGGGGTTTATAATTCTAGCTGTTAGGCGCAGAGTGATGTAGAGATGGAAGAATTTAACGGGAGAGAAAATATAGGATCCAGAGTTACGTATGTCTGAAGAAAGGAGTTGAGGAAAATTTGTCATTTCATACACGGGGTAAAAGGGGCAGATGCTAGAAACTCTTGCTAAAGTGCTAATGGTGCTGTGCGCAAAGGATACAGTGAGCAATGATTTAAGTGGTAAAAATTGATTTCACCGAAAAGGAAAAGAGGTGGAAGAGGTTGATGTGATAAGATTGGATTGAGCTCTTAAGGAACATGAAAATTGATTCTGCTTTGCTTAATAGAGCGGAATAAAAACATAGGATTCATATAACCAACCCAAGTAATTGGGAAAAGACTTGATTGTCGTTGTTACTTAAATGTTTGAAAATTGAACTTCTTCATTGCCTTCAAGCAACTCAACTACAACTCATAACCTTTCCACAATTTTTTCCTATGCAGTTGTGCTTTGGAAGCTAGAACCCTGACGTTCGAGAGAGAGTTCCCACTCGGAGGCATTGGGAAGGAGTGACTGACTTTAACCTTAATTTTTATTCCAAAATTGAGGTTCAATATATTGTTCCCTGGAGAATTTGAAGAAGACCAAATAAAGCAAAATTTGATAAAATGAAATTGTATAATTGAACCCCGAAACAGTAGTGACCATAGGGCAGTAGTGACTATAGGTGGGTATGGTTGTTTAAACCACACATGAATGAATAAGAGTATATATGACAAAGTCATCAAAATACAACCCAAAAAAAATAGAGTTTAGAAATCAACTAGTTGATCATCATAAAGCTCCAAAATTTGTATACCAAAAAATTTATCTCTTTATCACATTAGTCATTCTGTTGGTGGTTGTGGTGGTGCTTGCTGGTGGTGTTGATATTGCCACTATGTTGGTGGCAACTGCTGATATTGCCACCTTGTTGGCGGTTGCTGCTGCTGGTGGGAATCTGATGGAGACTATTGTTGGTGGAACCATGGTGGCAACTGCTGTTGATATTGGAGGAACCATGGTGGCGGTTGTTGTTGGTACTGTTCAAGTACCTTCTCAAATTTATCCATCTTTTCCGCCAATTGTACATTTCTATCATCAACAATTTTGGCCCTTTTCGTAGAAGCCTCATCACATGATGAAGGGGCACGTTGACGCCTTGGAGCCATGAAACCATGTGCGGATCCACGGCAATATCCCTTCCTTATGCCTAGTTGGTTTTGCACTATCTCAACATCATTTATGATTGGACTCGTACCATCAAAATTTTGAGAATTTTGTGCAGCCTTTTCTTTCATTGCATCCTGCAAAATATTTAAGTTCGTTATCAAATTGAAATAATATGGCATAGGAATAAATCATGTACAAGCTAGAATATTAATCTCAATAGAGAGGAAAAAAAATGCTTATTGAAATGCTTATTTTCCAAATGGAAGGATGAGTTCGGACACACTGCAATGACAAATGACAACTGATATTAATAGTAAACACTTTTTAACTGAAAACAATCTATTTTAAGGAAACATTTTGAATACTTTACACATATTCAAGATCTGATATTAGAAACTATAAACAAAATTGTCCTTTTCAATAGCCTTTTTTTTTCACAATAGATGTAACAATTGAGGTATAAAATCGAGTTTTCCATTTTAAAAAGTATTTTAGATGCACTCCTACTCTTTTTTTTTTTTTTTTGAACTATCACCACTGTCAAGGTATTAAATTTCATAATATTTCTTTTCAAAAAGTGTTCTGAGGAATCCAAACAAACTCTAAATCCAATTTTCTTAATCCCAAATCTTAAACATTATGAAATTTAATATTCGCTCATGCACACCTTAGCCTTAGTGAATCAGTTTTCTTTGCTAGTAAAATTGCAATCAGTGGCTATACAATCTTGGGCAATTCTAGTTGATTTTGGCAAAATCTGATCAGTCCTAGGTAATTTGATTTTGTCCGAATGGGGTATATGCATAGTCAATCTAATTTCATCAGTCATTATTCAACGGACCCAATCTCATACCCTCTACTACATCCAAGTTACCAATTCTATTCATGGCTATGCAATCAAGATATTGTATTCTTTAGAATTCCAAAAGCATTATTCATATCTGGGATGGTAAAGAATTCAAAGCACTTAAAAGTTAAAATTACATTAACATCTTAAAAACAGCATATACGATTCAAGAGATTCCAAAGCAGAAGCTTTCTAGCTGAACAAAATGAAACAAAGATGGAAAGGAAAAACAAATCACGGGAACATATGACAGGGGATACAGTAATTTTTTTTTTTTATGTATCTCAATTTTTTTGAGGGGAGCAGGACACAACCTATAGCAGAATATATATGGGCATATGGTAATACTGAAAGAAAAGTGGAGATACACGTCAAAAACCGGAAAACAATAACTAAAATCTTAAAATTGAAAATATTGAAATCTGAGTCTTTTGAATCAGGATTTACATTTGACCAACTTGATACCATTTGTGTTAAACAGTAGCACATAGTCACATACAAATAACTTGTGTGCATTACCATATCCTACTGTGCACAGAACAAGATGTACATAGATCAGAGTAACTGGTTGAAGCAGGAAAAATTCAATTAGCCAAACTATTTCTTTCTTCCTTTTTTTTTTTTTTTTTCTTCCCTTAATTGGCAAGAAACTCACACAGCTATTTACTCATCTAAGAGGATGATTAGGCTCTTTCCTAGTTAAATGGATAATTTTGAGAGTTTGAAAGGTCTTTCTTTACTCTCCTTGAGGGGTTTTATCTTGTTTTGTTCGGGAAGGAGTTGTATCATTTTTTTTCCTTCCATCTACTGTTTTCTCTTATTTTTCTCCACTCAATTGAAGAGGTTACATAATATTTTTTTATTTTTTAAACATGAAATGCAATGAATGAAAATCACACTTCATCCGCAACAATTCCCCACCTCCATTTGTGCACAAAAAATCAAGAATGGTCACTTAAAGGCATGTAACCCCCTATAAACCGCAAAAATGGTCACTTAAAGGCATGTGACCCCCTATAAACGGCAAAAATATTATGAGATCCAAATTTCATAATCCAACATGCTAACTTATAGTTAACTTACAAAATTCCTCTTAGCTATCCCTTATGCCCATCCACCTTGTTCCTTAAAATGTGTGCCCTTGTATAAGCGAATAGCATATCCTCATCCCTTTCACCGTCCTCATCTTCTTGGCTCTACCTTTCTTTGAGTTTGACCTGCAGTACAAAGTAATAGTGACCATTAAACAAATATATGGTTTAGAACATAGAATATAAAATAAAAAATTTATAATTATTGTTTCATATATTACGTACACAAGTATCGTAACGTCTGACGAAGGACATCGATCCAGAATAATGTGAAACCTCATTCTTGGAACAATTTTCTTTGTTTTGTTCACTTATTTCCTAGGTAGTAATTCAAACAAAATTACAAGTTAGGAAACCCAAATAGCTAGTGAATGAAGTTATTATATTAAATGATTTCAAGTAAATAGTCAAAAGCAAGTAGTAAAGAACTTGAACCTGAAATTCTAGTGACATCCACCTATCACACAACTTTTGCCAAACAGCATGACCAATAACATTGTAAGGATGGCAGCGTGCATTCTCAATGGGAAGATGCTACTCGAAATTTCCCACTCGAAATGACTCTTCAATTTATATCTATATTTCCTCAATGCGCTGGAAATTCCATTATTTACTCCCTTAAAATCAGTGTCATTCGCATATGCATCCACTCCAACATCTCCTTTATAATGTAAAATTAATATAAGCTACAATTTGTAACCAATTGCACCAGCAAACTCTGATTTATTTTTAACAAAACAAACATTAAATAATGGTTATCATTACCTTCAAATGGTCACAGCAGACCTCTTTCTCAAAATCTTGGAACATACCTCCACGTTTTGTACTTTAGAAGGGCTTCGGTATCTCGTGTATTAATGCCAATCTGAGCCGTCCATAATTTGTTATTTAAACCAACAGATTTAATACAACCCTCTCCAAACTCTACTCGAACTGGACAATTCTTTTCCTTAATTTTGTGTAAGGCTTCATTTTTTGCTCTTCCACGCCCTTTCGTATCAGACCTGAAAAACAAATTTATCATCTTAATTAAAACGTAGGCATTTTACAAAAGAGCTTATGGTCAATCGATGATGAAGCATAGTTACCTCCACTTGGTTGTCACCCCATCTGCTCATTACTACCATCACCTTCCATTCTTTCATTTGTTGAATTCCTATCATCACCTGATCCACTCGGTTGTAGCAGGTGAACTTGTAGATGGTCGCTCAGTTTCAGCCCTGCGGGACCTTAAAACTCTACGCATTGGTTCCTCAGAGGTGTCCATAATTTAGTTTACAAATTGATATGAAGAATCAAGTGAATTAAATCAAAATAAACAAGCATATGCAGAATATACTCTGAGTCATCATTTCATACTTACATAATTCCATTGAATAAAAAATTCAATAATTAGAGGTTAATAAACCTGAAGGAAGTCAATAAATAAAGACTAGTAATATAACTGAATAGATCACATTAAATATTAATCATAAAACCAAAAAAAAAAAAAAAGTAAATGCTCAAATATAACAATTAATTTGGTCAACCAAATCAAAGCTGCAAATTAATGAAGTACACAACCAATACTTAAAGAGAAATTAAAACGAAAAGTAACGAAAAAGATAAAGCTCGGTAATATAATTTAGCTGGTCACATAATGTATTAATCATAAAACCATAAAATGAGGTACATGCACAAGAATTCAAATCTTCACATGCCATCCAAATCAGTATCATCTTCAGACAGCAATTCTGGTTCCTCATCTGAACTATATTGAATGTCATTTCCATCATCATTCTCAACATCCCAAAAGTCTTCATTAATGGCTGCTTCACCCCTACATTTTTGAATCATTCACATCAAGAGTTTCACCCTCCAAATGATCAGCAACTTATTATATAATGTCACCATCATTAATGAAAGATGGAAAAGTAAAAGGGTTCACACTTCACACATAATAGTACATATAATATATGAACGCTAGCTAATTAAATTTGAATTTCACATAATTATAATTTCAAACTAAAATCTATTAAATTCGAATTGGAGTCGGAGAGAAAATTATCAAACAGACTAAAAGGGAAATTATACTATAAAACTAAAACAATCATTTTTCCAGCTATCTTATATAGAAAAGAGTACAGGTTGTCAAAAAAAAAGTTGAGTTAGACCCATTAAATTCGAATTTCACATAATTATAATTCCAAACTAAAATCTATTTTGTGCAACCAAAAACCCCTTAATAGGCTTCAAAGGCCAAAATTATTTCAGTTCTTGTAAGTGTTAAAAATCTGTCCAAATCAGTTTATATTCTAGCAATTGTCCATGAAACAATCGAACCAGAAAAGCAGCAAGTATTACAGTGTAGACTTCTCAAGAAAGTTGAAACCGAAGCTAATGACAAAAGCATTCACTACAAACAACACATTATATATATTGTTTATGATTTCTACCCACTAGAAAACAACTGCTTCACCCACAAAATGAAAGATCTGAAAAAGAAAAAGAAAAAAAGAACAATGTGACAATATCCTGGTAAAATGACTCTACAATATAACTTGAAAATGACTACTATATCGTGTTTGTATCTGTATTCATGCTTCGCTTCATATTCTATTGCTATCTTTCCAATCAATTACTGGTTCTTTCAATATTTATTATTGAAGTTACTCTTCGATCCTAAAGCTAAGAATCAAAGCAAAGTAAAGTACTAGTAAAATGAAAAACAAGAACACTATATAAATATCTAGTACACAAATCCATTTCACTTTACATTCCATGGTGTTAATATGAGGAGGTAGCTAGTGTGAAAGATTAATGCAATCCCATTGTATTTGAGGAGTCAATTTTACATGTGTACACCAACTAATAAAACCTACTTTGACTTAATAATAGAAGTAACCAAATGTTGACCACGGGTTGATAGGGATGACGACATTCAGTTAACGACGATATTTGAAGTGGTTATTAATGATAAGCAGAATCTCAACAAGCGGGATTCGGTTCAACAGCCTACATCGACAAAACACAATACATACAAGGGATGATGGAATGAAGTATGTTTCATTATACCGCCCCCCCCCCCACACACACACACACACACACACACACGAACTTGATTGTCGGAGGATCTACGACCGGCACCACACCGGTGCTTGACTCAGCCGTCTTTATTTTTACAAGAAACAGTGTCGTACCAGGCCGCAGCAAATTCCAACCCCAACATCTCACAAAGTGTACATCAAAAAATTGTAAATAATATATGCCCGAAAAGCTTATGAAATAGGGATTCCAGAAATATAAGATTTGTGCAACAAGCCGCTTTGAGAGAAATAGACAATTTAAGATTTTAATAAAATTCTATCACATTTTGGGGTATGCAGCATTTCGAAGTTCCTCCAGTTGGTGCGTAAGATGAGTCAAGGCGAAGTTATTATCCACGATAATAAAGTCAAACCATCTGCATTACCTGCACTTGAGGATTTGAAGCTAATGGTTCTGTTTTCACTGAGTTGTATGTTAGTGTACTTGGGATTGAACGTGTGAATGCCTTAAACTTGATTGCGGAGGTTGGTGTAAAAGGTAAAACAGCAAACTAGGGGTTTATATTTCTAGCTGTTACGCGCAGAGTGAGAAAATTTGTTATGTAGAGATGGAAGAATTTAACAGGAGAGAAAATATTGGATCCAGAGTTACGTATGTCTGAAGAAATGATTTGAGGGAAAATTTGTCATTTCATACACGGGTAAGAGGGGCAGATGCTAGAAACTCTTGCTAAAGTGCTAATGGTGCGGTGCAGAAAGGATACAGTGAGCAATGATTTAAGTGGTAAAAATTGATTTCACTGAAAAGGAAAAGAGGTGGAAGAGGTTGATGTGATAAGATTGGATTGAGCTCTTAAGGAACATGAAAATTGATTATGTTTTACTTAATATTTCAATGTGATGGCTTTGATACGAGAATATCTACTAAAATAGAGCGGAATGGAAACACAGGATTCATGTAGCCAACCCAAGCAATTGGGAAAAGACTTGATTGTTGTTGTTACTTAAATGTTTGAAAATTGAACTTCTTCATTGCCTTCAAGCTACTCAACTACTACTCAGAACCTTCCCACGATTTTTTCTTATGCAGTTGTGCTTTGGATGCTGGAACCTTGACGTTCGAGAGAGTTCCCACTTAAGAGGCATTGGGAAGGAGTGACTGACTTTAACCTTAATTTTTATTCCAAAATTGAGGTTCAATATCTTGTTCCCTAGAATTTGAAGAAGACCAAATATAGCAAAATTTGATATAATGAAATTGTATAATCGATCCCCGACACAGTAGTGACTATAGGTGGGTATGGTTGCTTAAACCATACATGAATGAGTAAGAGTATATATAATAATTTCTTGCATGTTAAAAAAGGAAGGAGAAGGAGAAGAAGAGAAAAAAGTAGTGAACAGAAGAAAGAAAAAAAAAAAAAAAAAAAAAAAAAAGATAATGCAATTTGAAGGAGTAAAATGCCGCCATCATGGGTAATAAAAACTTACAGACAGATAAATAGTTGCTATGTTATGATGACATGGTTCATGAGCGGTGATAGGAGAGTATCTACATAGCTGATTGCATTAGCATTAACAAACGGGGCACCGTCAGCTATGAGAAGGTCCCTAGAAGTTCCCTCTCTTGTGTTGTATAAAACAAACTTCTCGAAGTCTATCAAACACATATCTTCTTCTTCATCATTCCTCCTCCTCAAGGTAGCCAATGGCTGTAAGATATGGAAATAATATGGAAGTTTAATGTCGAGTTTAGCCCAAGACTGGTTCACCCCATATTCCCTCATAACCCAGCAGAATGCATTATCAGCACCACATGCTACTATACAAAGGCATCCATCAAACACCCCTAGTTCCACTGCATCATTAAAACTGGTGATGGAAGCCGCAGCAGGCAAAGGAATGGTCCAAAGTTTCTCATCCTCCAAACGAAAAACAGCAATCTCCGATGGCTTGTCGTCTGAACCCTCCAAACAAACCCAATGAATGGCTCCATTCAGCTGCGTCCCCTTCGATATAACACTATACTTAGTAAAGTCATGTATTTTTCTCCAACAAGAACAATTTCTGAGGGAATAGACATACACGCCATTGCAGCGGCTTATTTTCAGCAATTTGTAATCATCAGAACAATGGTCATACGCAAATCCAACTACGCCACCGCGGGGATGATCCCCGCAATCCCGTATCAGCTTGGACTCCCTCGTCGACGGATTGAATACACATATCAATCCAAACTCGTTCACCATGCATATCAACCCATGACAGGAACCAATGATTTCCCACGCATGATGAGTACTAGGATTATTAATGTTCTTAAATAAAAAATCAATCTTTGATACTGCAACATCAATGTCGTCGTCATTATCAGATGACCCCCCGATACTTACCGTATAGACACGAAGAGGGCAGAAGGGAGTGGCTACCAGTATCCGCTGTGTTTGGATATTGGAATTCGTGGTGAGTGATTGATTGAGGTGGGCTTTGATGAAGTGGGGATCAGAGATCAGAGAGCGCCATCGCTTTGACACGCACTTGAATCGTAACAGAGCCTTCACCGGCAGTTTTGAGAGTATTTCAACAATAAGATGTTGGGTAAGGTATGGCGCTCTAGGCATGGCTTCGCATGGCTCCTGATTTCTTCTTTTACTTTCTGCCGCCATCTTCATCTTCATCTTCATCTTCATGGCTTTGCCTCGATTCCTTCTGGATCTATTCATATTTGGCAGCCGACTGCACTTCATGATAACATATATGCCAATTAGTTCTTCAGGTCAAGTAATTGCTTGAATCTCAAACAACACAGATGAAATCGGCAGTCAATTAGGCCCTGCTTGTTATAATTATCTCCTCTGCTTTTCTGAAACAAATCGCCACTGACAGAGAAAGAGGCGCCTGAAGTTTTGCAGAGGAGTGAAGGAGGCGTATATATATATACTCTGGTTAGGAATGGAAAAGATGATAGATGGCGTTAGGGTTCCGAGTTAGAGACGGAGAGAAAGTGGTCAAAGGATATATATTAATATATATGGCGCTAGGGTTCCAAGTTACACATATTTTTTGTTTTTTCCCACAGGGCAGTGAACCACGGTACGTCTCCACAAGCTTTAATCAGACAGAAGTAGTGAAATTGGGCTTTCCACCCGAGGGCTTTCTCCAAAGGTAGATTATCCGTGTAGTTTAGTAGTACCGCTTTTCTTTAGGCGATCTATGTAAAAGTGAACATAGATTGGACTGGATGGGCTTGACTTTTAAGTTAAAAATATAAAGTCGGGCCTGGTCTTTTATTTAAATGGATTGGATTGGATGGGCTTGATTTTTAAGTTAAAACTAAAGGATTGGGCCTAAAATTACAGAATGTGTGTCTGTCGTTAGTAGTACCGCTTTTCTTTAAGCGATCGAGCGATCTATGTAAAAGTGAACATAGATTGGACTGGATGGGCTTGACTTTTAAGTTAAAAATATTAAGTCGGGCCTGGTGTTTTATTTAAATGGATTGGATTGGATTGGATTGGATGGGCTTGATTTTTAAGTTAAAACTAAAGGATTGGGCCTAAAATTACGGAATGTGTGTGTGAAGTAGTACCGCTTTTCTTTAAGCGATCTCGATCTATGTAAAAATGAACATAGATTGGACAGGATGGGCTTGACCTTTAAGTTAAAAATATAAAGTTGGGCCTGGTCTTTTATTTAAATGGATTGGATTGGATTGGATGGGCTTGATTTTTAAGTTAAAACTAAAGGATTGGGCCTAAAATTATGGAATGTGTGTGTATATATATATATACACACACATTACAAAATTACGAGCTCATTGATTAAAGATCTCGTTTACCAACATGTTCTCAAATTAAATAATCAAGTAGAGGAGTATTTGAGATTGGTTCACACATATTTTTTAATTTGAGTCCAGTCCATTGATCAACTAATCGAACATGACCCAAATTTTTAGTGACTTGAGTTCGAGTTTTTCATCAAAAATTTAACTTATTTGTAGTTTAAAATGTTTTAATCCTAAATTAAATTCCATGTGAGACATAATTATTATTTTTTTGTATGAGACTATACGACAATAAAACAATCAAAACATAATAGTAAATTATTTATGTTTTAAATTCTAAGTTTATCTTTTCTAATGATTAAATTTATCTTTATCTTTATATTTATATTTATATTGAATGTGATTTTTTAATATTGATTATTTACTCACTTGATAACACGATACGTTTTTCTTAGTATATTATAGAAGTGTTAGGAGATGATAAAGAAGACGGTGATGACAGGATAAAAATCACCTCCAATGCGCCTCTGTCTAGTAAGGATCCAACGGCTGAGATCAAACCCACCTCAGCTCCCTTGCCTTGTCAGCTCCTACTCAGTTTTATCTCAGCACCTAGTCAACGAGTTAATGGAGAAAGTTACTGAGCTACACTTTTTTTTACTACATGTATAAATATCCAATACAACATATAAGTATACGGTTACTACGAGAAATTAAGGTTTTAGGGACAATCAAAACTGTCCCTAAAATCTCCGAAACCATCCCTAGAAGTCAAATTGGTCCGTCACTAAAAGTAGCGTGACAAAAGATCTCTAAAGACGGTCAAAGTTAACCGTGACAAATGTTAGCCACCAATTGACTCAGGGGGGTGAATAGAGTCAATGCCCAATTTTTGTAATTTATAAAAAGTTATTTCTAACTAACTATCATGCAATAATCAATTGACATATTCAAGCAACATATATCACAAGTGACAAGTGTAAAAGAGATAGAGATAGGAAATTGCAAATAATGACTCGGCGATTTAGCGTGGTTTGGAAACTCCTACTCCTCGACTCAAGATCCTCCTTGAGACTTACCAAATCCACTAGAGCTTCTCCTTAATGGTGGAGAGCAAACCTTCAATTTGAAACAATATCTTGCTTCTCTTCCTTGCTAAGAGAACACCCTTCTCTTAGGCTTTTTTTTGGGTCACACCAACCCTTTACAATGACTTGTAAAAGAACTGAAGTGTACAATGAATCTCTTAAAGATAATAGTACAAAGTTTAGCTCATAACTATAGTAAATATGAATATATTTATGAAGCTCAGAATCACTAAAGTGAATGAAATATTAGAGAGGAAATGAAAGCTCAATGAATACTTTTTTAATGATCTTAAAAAATGGTAGAATGCTGTCTCAAATGGTGTATTTAATTCTGCAGATCAACCATCTATATATAGAGAATATCACGCTCAATATAGTTGTTAGAGGGATCTCAAAACCCTAGAAGGAGCCGACTCTTATCTAGAAGAGGAGCTGGCTCCCAGCCTCTGCGAGCCTGCTCGAAAAATAGCTACTGGAATGTTAGCAGCCTGCTCTGTTTTTCATGGAGCCTGTTCCATTGTTGTATGAAACTTAAAATGAATTTATTTTAACCCTATCTTCACTTCCTATGATGTGTGGCTCATGTGTGAATGTGTTTATGAATTTTATGAGGTGATTTAATGTTATTTAAAACTGAAATGAGAATGGTTATGCATGATCCTATGATTTTGAGCTTCAAGTAAATATTCAAAAATACCTTAACAATGAAGCTTAACCACTCACCACCCTATCTATCCCTTTTTCTTCAGTCTTTGACCATGATTGTTTAGGCTTGATGAAGACTTGCTTTCTTTCTTTGAAATGCTTGAATGATCTTTGAAATCCGAGTTTTTCTTAGATTTCTTGCAACTTTTGAGGCTTCCTTGAATCCATTGCTTGGAATGCTTGAAATAGACTTTGGCTCATTACTTTGTATCCATTGCTTGGAATAAACCTTCTAGCTCAATATTGAGGTTTGAATATTGATCATCTATACATCACTCAATGAAAATATTAGTACTTAACCATCATTAATGGTTTGTAATCATCAAAACATAAGATTGACCTTTAGATAAAATCCTTACGCCAACAATCTCCCCCTTTTTGATGATGACAAAACATTGATGCGTTTATTGTCAAGGTGGAGTTGCATTTGAAATAATGCTCCCCCTATCGATATGCATACATTGAATTTATATCATGCTTGATTTTATAACAAATATATTAGACATTAAAGTGTATAAGTCTCCCCTTGCAATATGCGTCTAGAAAGAAAAAAAAATATAAGTGAAAGACAATATACTCATAAGCAAATCAAGCATAATGAATCATACATCTTTCTCCCCCTTTGTCATCTCAAAAAGGTGGAAAGATAAAGCAGTTACTTGCCATTTCACGCAATAATGAAATATAGGGCAAATGAAGATGTATTAATAGCAAAGATTTCATTTTATAGATGGCAGATTTCAATACATAAGGAGAATGTGTACACAAATACCATATGTCAGACAAAAGCATAAATCATGATAAGGACTTCAAAAGAAAATGACAGAAATAAATAAAACATAGCTAAAAAGATGCTTCTCTTAAGCAAATAAAGTAAATGAGTGCAATAGTGTTTAAACGGGGGTGCTACTGTTCTAAGGAGAAGGGGGGTCCATACGCGCTTCGGAATTCTCCAAAATCGTCATTAAGATTGTGATACCCCCTAATTTCGGAACACGGGTTGATCAAATCCACGCACAAAATCAGGGGATATCAAAATAATTAAAATATTTAAACAAGCACAGAATACAAAGATGTTTAATAAAGAATAAACAATACGCTGAAGAAAAACTAATAAATAAAAATTTCCATTAATAACTCGACAATGATTACAACTAGGGAATCCCGTTCAAGGACCCCTTAACCAAAATCCACTATCCACAAATCCATTAATAATTACTGAAGTGATAATATCATACTTTGAAATAAAATAGAAAGAATAGATAAGTCCTCCAACTGCGGATCCTCAACCTTGAGACTTGAACTTTTAATACCCTGAAAAATAAATTGTGGGTTAAATCCTACGAGCAAACTCTCTCTACCAGGCCTCTAAAAACTAATAAGCAGATCATCTCTAATCAAAACCAAACCTAATAAAGTTTTTAAGTTCAATAAAGATACACATATGTATAAATAATTATATACAATATAACATTCACATCCATTAATAGGTTCATTAATTTTCAAAACCATTAAATCAAGATTAAAATATAATCATACCTAAACCAATCCACAATCCCCTTCTTTTTTAAAGAGAAACCTTTTACCCTTAATTTCATTTTAAATAATTATTTAATCATTTAAATAATAAACCATAATCTAAGGAATAATTCCTTTAATCCAAAACCCTATAACCACTGATGAATGATTTTATTTATTTAAATCATAAAGCAAAGATTTATACATTGGCAATTCATCCATGCCTTCTCCAATATTATTTTATTAATATATACAAAATAATATACTAACTTATAAATACTCAATTATTCTAATTTAAGAATAACAAATCGTAATCCAATCTATACATACAATAACTATAGATGAAATTTAAACATCTAATACACGTAGCCATTAACTTATGCTTTGGCAAATCAACCATGTCATTATAAATATATTTATTAATATATTAGCAATTCAATAATGCCTTCTTAAGTATATATATTTATACTTTTAATTAGCAACTCATTCATACTTCCTATGTATGTATTTTATTCATATAAATATTTAGACCATATATTTAAGTCTTTTGGCAACTTATCCATGCATACAATTCAACTATGTATCAACTTTAAACTTAACGATAAGCTAAATCACACATAGACATCTCATGCATTTCATAAGCATAACATTACTTTAATAACCAGCCTATCCAGATATAACAAATAAGAAACAGATCTGTGTCTTTAACTACTTTACTTATTTTATATTTTAGCAATTAAACAGTTAATCACATGCAGATAAAATAAAGCAAAGTATAAAGTTAGAGATGACACCAGGATTTTAGCGAGGAAACCCCAGTTGATAAAATACGTCAACTGTTATGGGAAAAACCTCATGGACTTGTGCAATCCAAAGTAAACCAATCCACTATGTTTAGAACAAAGTATACTGAACTTTGACTTTGACTCACACCCTATCGTTCTACACCACACCAACCGCTAACGATCCTCTGGCTTTGCGACTCCCTGTCTAACAACAA